CTGAAAGGCTTTCTTTCAAAACTTTTCATTTGAAACTCAATTAATTTATACTAAAAATTACAGCTTGGGAAAGGTCAAAATAAAAATGAAGTCTTTTTAGATTTACCGAAATAAGACATTTTGATTAACCTGTATTTTTGTACAATTCTCACTTGTATTTTACAACAGCATGTGGGAAAAAACCCTGAAATCTTAAGAAACTCTGCAGAACAGGGTTCTTACTTACCTCTTAGCTCTAAGACTAGGGGCCTGGCCTCATGAATCACACAAGGTAAAAAACATTGTCCAGAATTCAGAATGAAAGTTTGCTATACATAAACATTGTGGCATTTTTATTACAGCATACCAGCCGAGAATCTGCATTTAAAACACTGACTGCTCAAAGGAATCTAAATCTTAGCTAAAGGTAATAAAATCAGGTCAAGAATTCACCACTCAACAATCTGCCATTAGCATTGCTGTTCAGAGACAATGTAGTTCATCTGCTTTTAAAGAAAGTAAAGATGGGCCATATAGCGTAAGTTTGGAAAGTAGAATGATTTGCTTGTGTGTGAAAGTCTGTTAGGTAATGAGTTTTATTTCCTCATAAAGAGATTTCGGTGAATCTGCATCATGATTTTTTTACAGTACACACAGTATTTCTGCAAAGCCCAGAGGTGGGACTGCGTTTCTACATACATAAGCCATGCTCGATTTCAGCAGCTTGGCCACCATCAGCAATGTAATCACAACAGCAGAGAGTGCAAATGATCTGAGCTTTTATCCTGGTTTTAGACAATTTTTTTCAATCCTGATGAACTCTGTGTTTCCAGGGCCATGCCGTTGCCAGTTGCCAAAACTGGCCAAAGTTACCTGTGACACATCTGCACGAGCCAAGGTCACAACTAACCTTAAGCATCCAGCTAAGCTCTGCTGGAGACCTAAGCCATCACTTTGAATTCATCATAGAGTTAATTTGTCACACTGGTACCCAGAGACATCTCTAATCAATTTCCTGGGCCAGGACCTTTTAAACAGTAGGTTTCTTTCAGATATCTCAAACTGGGTAAGTCTTTAGTTCAGGG